AAAAAAAAAAAAAAAAAAAAAAAAAAAACACATCATAGTAAAATTAATACCTTCTCCGCTTCGCATCGAAGCTAAAAATATAATTTTGTAAACAAATTATCATTATTATTTTATAGTTGCGTAATAATCTAACTTATAACAGAATAAAATAATTAAAATAAAGAATTATTTTCATACAATTCCTTGATAAATGAGAAGAAAAACTCGTCAGTAATCAGTTTCTAAATAAGTCGTCCAGTTATAATAAGTTATATTTTATTAATGTCTAATTAATTTATTAATAATATTTTATTATTTATTAATAATTAGCTAATAACTAGAAAAAACACACAGATACAAGTCCCACTTTAACGGGATGACAAAAATATTAGATTTTAATTTTATAGATTTTTGGAGGGTTAAAAATAATGTTACTATATGATCTATTCTGATTCTGCGATTTAGATTATTATTCTATATTAAAATAAATTTGTTGGTATTTTCTTAGATGATAAAACGGAAGCAATAAATGCATGTACTGAATTTATACGGGACTTGGTAAAACCAAAGGAAGATGACTTAAAAATAAAATTATGTGCAGGTGATCCATGTAACAAAGGCACAATTACACAAGATTATGCAAAAACAAGTCTTTTGGAAAGTAAATTTTTTTTAGATCCTAATAGAACTGATGATATCTTGGATTTTTTGATCACAAAAAATTTAAATCTAGAATATCAAGTTCTGTACAAAGGTAATTATCATTACTTTTTTTGAAATGTATAAAAATATTTAAAACATTTTTTAACAATTAAAATGGCCGTGTTTCATATTTTTGCCTATATTGTTTGTTCATTATTTTAAATAATTAAAAATAAAAAAAATACTATTTGCTGAAAATCAATTAAAGCAAATAAATTGTTGGACATTTTTAAAAATAATATTATAAAATTATTTAATAAAAATGTTATTAGGCACAGTAGTAATATTATAGGTAATTATTTGTGCATGGTTTTAAGCGTGTAGGGATAAATAATTTGGGTAAGTTGGAGAACCGAGTGTAAGTTCATGACTCTTAAATTACTTATAAATGAGTTATGAAAATATCGGACTAATAACCGTAACATGGCGTTACGGACAATTATTATTTTTTGGGTTACAATTAATCTTAATAACATACTTTACTTTAATTAAACATTTTATAATTATTCAATAATTATAACTGTTGCATATTAACAATTATTACTAACATTTTTGTGTTAGATAAATTAATTACTGGTTAGTTACACTTCAAACCATTATTTTGTAAATCTATTATTCTTTACTGTAGCATAGGTA